TCTCCCCTCCTCCCAACCACCCGTCTCCCCCTCCTCCCAACCACCCGTCTCCCCCTCCTCCCAACCACCCGTCTCCCCCTCCTCCCAACCACCCGTCTCCCCCTCCTCCCAACCACCCGTCTTCCCCTCCTCCCAACCACCCGTCTTCCCCTCCTCCCAACCATCGCCCAAGGAGAGGACGACAAGTGTAAACACTTACTCTTTCGCACTCTTACTCTCTGCCTCTCCCTCTCCCCTCTCTCCCCCCAGCTGAGCTGCGTCCGGTGGGGGGCACGCTAGTGAGGGTGTTCAAGGAGGTGGCAGCGGCGGTGGCAGCGCAGGGCAATGCGGGCAAGAAGAGGGAGATGGACGCCAACAGCAGGAAGCTCGGGCTGCTGCTGCAGCGCCTCAACCAGCGCGACGTGTCGCCTTCCGTGGCTGGAAAGCTGTTGCCACTCTGTGCTGCGCTTGATGCTGGGGACTACGCCACTGCTCTGCACATCCAGGTAGTTTGAGTGCGGTACTGAGAGGTGGATTACTGGAGAGTCACCTGGCCTACAGCAGGAAGCTCGGCCTGCTGCTGCAGCGCCTCAACCAGCGCGATGTGTCGGCCTCTGTGGCTGGCAAGCTGCTGCCTCTCTGTGCTGCTCTGGGTGCTGGGGACTATGCCACTGCTCTGCATATTCAGGTGGGTGGGTGGTGGAGAGCGGTGGTGAGAGATGGATGGATGAATGTGAGGTTTTTCTCCCCAGCGCATACTCACGCAAACGCATATCCTCCCCTTCCAGCATAAAAAGGCACACACGCTCACATGCCCTCCCCTCTCTTGCTGCTCTCCTCCCCTGCTCCTTCCCCTCTCACATCCTCCACCCTGCCTCTCTCCCTCCTTCCCCCCACTCTCTCTCTGTTTTTCACTCTCCCCCGTCGCCTTTTTACTCAACGGCAGGTGGATCTGACGACCAAGGACTGGGAGGAGTGTGGCGTGTGGCTCACGGCGCTAAAGAGCGTTATCAAGACGAGACAACAGCTCGGATGAGAGGGCTGCTGGAATGATGAGGGCTGCTGGAATGATGAGGGCTGCTGGAATGATGAGGGCTGCTGGAATGATGAGGGCTCTGAGAATTCTCGAAAGTGATTCCTTAAGGTGTGGGAGGAGTGTGGCGTGAGGCTGAATAGCGTTATCAAGACGAGACAACAGCTCGGATGAGAGGGCTGCTGGGATTATAGGGGATTTGATGCGATGATGGTTACTAGCATATGTCTGATGGTATGCCTGCGGTTTGGCTTGGTTACTTGTGAAGTGCAGGTTACAGGTAACAGAGGACACTTGCAACTACAAATGGTTAAAGAAGTGGTGTTGCTTGCAGTTGGGATGAGGGCTTTGATGCGATGGGTTATGCATGGATGGCGGATGGGTGACTGTTTTTTAGATAGTTGGAGTGCAAGTTGCAAGTACTGGAGGCACTTGCAGCTGCAGATGATCAGGAAGTGCAACTAATGCTTCCGGCTGCACCAATCATGGGGTGAACAATGATGTGTTGTGTCACCGTGGCAGACATTAGGCTAGCTGAGCTGTCATCTAGCTGTCTGTGGGCTGATTATGTGGCTTGAACAATAGAACGAGGACAATTCATTTTGAAACTTCCCACTACTTTCTTCTTATGCAGTTCTGTTTTGTAAAGCACACATGTGATGTGTGTCTATACGGCGGATATGCTTCCGCGCTCGCCTCAACCTATGCCACCAGGCGTGCCTCGCGCACGGTCGTCTTTCTGCGTCTCATGGCGCGTCGGCTCTGTGAGCATGCGACCGCGTGCGCGCAAGTAAGAATACTCGCATGCTGCGTGCCCGTCACATGATCCAGCGGGCATGCTAGTATCGAGATCCCTCCGCATGACGAGATGGAGAGGCTGGGCGATGGGACTCGGCGCGCATCGCCGGCGAGTCGACGCGGGGCTGCATGGACGGATGCGAAGAGCCCGCCCCGCCGCTGCGCGGGTTGCGCGTGTTCCGCTGCGCGGGTTCCGCCGCGGCCCGACGTCGTCCGCCGTGAGCGAGTTGGACGGACGGACGGACGGACGGACGGACGGACGGACGGACGGACGGGCCACGCTCAGCTTGATAAGACTTGATTCGCGCCGCCTCCTCACCACGCTCGAGTCGTGCGCGCCTGCCTCCCCTAGCGCGCGTGTGCCTCCTCTAGCGCGCGTCTGCCTCCCCTAGCGCGGTTGTCAGGTCGGAGTCTTCCTCGTGGCGAATCCATCAATTTATCTTCTTAGAAATCTTAAGAATACCCTGTAGCGCTTTCGGAATGAAGTCTTTCTCGTAGCGATTCTGGTGACGCCTGCGTGAGAAATTCGCGCTGCAGGGAAGATCGAGCCATCTTTTGATCAATCGAGTGGTTGAGCTGGTTTTTCTGCGACCTCCTTGTGCCCAGCCTGAGGCTTCTTGAACAGCGGTAGTGGGCAGCAAGGCGTGAGCAGCAAGGTGTGGGCCGGACTAGTCGGGCTTCTTTCTGCGACCGCCTTGCACTCGCGCTCGGGCTTCTTGACTTGCGGTAGTGGGCGGAGCCGAGGTAGCATGGGGAGACTGGAGATTGTGCTGGCGCTGCTGGGGTCGCTAATGGCGACGCTGCTGGTGGCGCTGCTGGTGGGTGCCTTCTCGACAGCAGGAGCAGGAGCAGGAGCAGGAGCAAGACTTTCTTCCCGGGCAGCCCAGGGAGAGGGTCCGAGGCAGCGGAGGGAGCGTGGAGGTGTGGAACGAAGATTTCAAGCAGCTGCAGGTGAGAGCAGCTGCAGGTGAGAGCAGCTGCAGGTGAGAAGAGGTGCAGGCGAGTGAGGGAATGCCTTTCAGGCAGCAACAGGCAACGTTTCTCAATCTGCCTGTGATTTGGTCACGGAATTTGCCTTTGTTTTATGTACCCATGCTTGTACTCTTTTCTTTGTCTTTTCCTATTTTTTCTTTGCTCCACAAATTTAGGGGAACTTGTGATATGTCCCTTTTTCTTCCTGCCATGCTTCCAGGAAGCGCATGTGGCGGCGGCGCTGATAACAGTGGAGAGTCAGTTCCTTGAGTTGCCACTATATGCCAACTCCCCGCAGGTAACATCGCAATATTTTTTTTTGGTGTGATTTTGTTTTCTTCTCCTCTTCTTTCTTTGCCCTGCTGCTGGTTTATCGCTGGATGATTTGAAGACTTGCACTGCTGTTGCATGCTCCACCCCACATTCCTGTCTCACGTGCCTTCTTTTCTCACCGAGCCTTGTGCGTATTCATCAGGCCTATTACGTGTTGAAGGGTGAGGCTATGGCAGGCCTCATTAGCCCCATGGGAGCACCAACGAATCTCAGGTAGGCATCCCATGAGAATGTGCAACAGGCCTTCAGAAGTCCTTTTTTCTCATGGGCCTTCAGAAGTCCTTTTTCCTCATGGGCCAACTTTTTTCTCGTGGGACCACATACCAGCACCAGCACCTGTAGGAGCGGTGCATCAACTCTGCCGTCTCTCTTTCTTTTCTCCTTCTGCCTTCATCTGTTTGCGTCTACCTCAGCAGCCATTTGTGTCTACTCTATGCAATGATCCTTCGTTTCTCCGCTGTTCAGGCGACTGAGAGAGGGAGACGCCTTTGCGATTCCCAGGGGATGGGCGCGGTGGATTTGGAACAACGGCCGGCAGCCGTTCCAGGTTCTCTCCGTCGCCGATACTTCTGATGCCGCTGCTGACACCTCCAAGGGCACGCCAAGTGCTGCCAGCCGCTACACCGTCTTCCACCTCATGGGCGCGCAGAAGGAGAACTTTGGAAGTATTCTGCACGGCTTCAGGTGAGTTCACCGTGGCTTTCAGGTGAGTTCACCGTGGCTTCAGGTGATATAAACTGTGTTGTGACTTGTATGCTCTATTTGTCGTCTGCTTACGTCTCTTGTTCTTATCCTGTTACCCCCTCCCTCCTCCTTCCCGTCCTCGCCCCTTCCCCCCCAATCCTCCCACCAACCAGCCCGGACCTGCTGGCACAGGCATGGGACGTGGAGGAGGGGGAGGTGCAGCAGCTGCTGCAGGCGCAGCAGGAGAGCGTATTTGTCAAAGTCACACCACAGCTTCGGGCAGAGCTGGAAAACTATGGGGAGGATGAAGAGGAGGAGAATGAGGAGGAGGAGAATGAGAATGAGAATGAGACTGAGAATGAGAATGCGACTGAGAATGAGGAGGAGGAGGAGGTGGAGGAGGCAGAGGAGAATGAGGGGGGAGATGAGGAGGCGTACGGGGGAAGGGGGAACGACCAGCCGCACTTTGGCAAGGGAGCAAAACCCAGTGTGAGCATCTTTGCGGATTTCACCTACAACCTCAAGACCCGCCAGCCGGACATTGTTGCGAAGCGCGGCGGCAACATGACAGTCGCGAATGGATACAAGCTCCCGGCGTTCCGCAAAGTGGGGTTTGCAGTGGCGCGCTTCAGCCTGGAGGGCAACGCCATGACGGCTCCCAGGTGGCTGGCGAATGCTGCTTCGACGCTGTATGTCACCAAGGGCAAGGGGTGTGTGGAGATCACGTACCCTGATGGCAGGCAGGCGCTGCGCCATGATGTGAAGGAGGGGGACTTCGTGGTCGTTCCTGCCAGCTACCCACACGCTGCTGTGAGTGGAAAGGACATCCGCTTATTGATTCTAGTTGCCTGTTACTGGTCTAATAGAGAGAGACTCTTCAATCTGAATCTTGTTTTGTTCTAATTCCTTGACCGTTTGCTCTTGTTTCCCCTCTTTGGATGTGCAGCTGGCCTACGGGGAGGGTCTGGAGTGCATTGCCATGATTCCCAAGAGCCGCCCGCAGGCGGGGTTCCTGGCGGGGGCGAACTCGGTGTTCCGCATGCTGCCTCGCATTATCCAGCGCGCCGCTTTCAACGCCGATGAGAAGCTGCTGGAGAAGCTGCGCGCGACTAGGCAGAGCGAGTATGGCATCCTGCGCCCAGGTCAGGGAGAGGCGGAGGAGGAGATACCGATGCTCATTGAGCAGGTGGTGGGCTTCTGAATGGCTTCGTTGCGTTTTGTGGGTATGAATGGGGTTTAATACCTCCCATGTGTACATAGAGAGATGCTCTCAGGTGCTGGTGTAACAAAATGGGATAGTGAGATGAATTGAGCTCCACATTGGACATACCAGCTGAACAAATATCGTGTGGTCACATTTCCAGTCCAAGCATATTCAAACTACGATTATCCCTCCTGTGTACGTCTTCCAGTTGTTTTATTAATGAAACTCGACTAATAAAGGTTTTGCGAAGCCTACCGTATGGAGTAACATGCTCTGACGGTTTTGTCGAGTAAGCCAGGTAACAGGAGTTCCCATACAGCAGCGTCGGGAATTTCGCGAAAATCTATTGCAATCTTCGTCAAAACTCGTTCATGCGAACTGATCCTCCAATAACCGTTTTGTCCTGGGCACATCAATAGACACCACCGCGCAGACACAACCAGCTTGTAGCTCGCCTACTGATTAGTTGCCCGTAGCGCCATCAAACGACAAGGGACATCCTAACGACTCCGATCAGACAGAGCCTAACCGTCTGGATTACTGGAAAGCCGTCGTCCAGTAGAGCAACCGTTCATGTCGCACGCGATGCGGCTGCTGCATGTCGTTAGGCTCGGAGACAGTCGGTTAACTGTCCCTCTAGGTCCACCGAGGAGGGTTGGGTAGCCAGAGGAGCTTCATGCGAGAGTGGCTAATTTTGAGACCAAAAAACGCTTGAAGTCGTTTTGTTTAACCGTCGGGCGATCCATTCATAGCATCGCCGCTGCCGCGCGGGAATTTTCCACGCCCGCCATTCCTGATCGTTCTCTCCGCCGTTGCATCACGACTGCACATCCTGTCGGCGACATCTGCCTCCTCGCGGCAGAGCCGCTGGAGCGCTTATCGGAACGGCTTGACGACCATTCGCATTTCGCACACGCGTCCCACGTGTCCCACGTGTCGTGTCCCACATGTCAGCGAGATCTGGAGCATCGCAGATCTGCTGGAGCTCTCCCTGCCGACCGACCATTGGCATGTCGCCCTCCTCTCCGTGTCTCAGCCGCTTGCAATGCGCTGCAGCGGCCGGGTGAAGCAGACACGGAATTCCAAGCGGGTGTGGGGGGAGAGCAGAAGCAGGTTGGCAGTGGCGATGTTACTAGAGGAAAGATTTTGTAGGCAGAATGGTAATTGGCGGTGACTGTTGCCGTGCCGTCCTGACTGCTCACCTCCTCTCCGTTGCCGCTGCAGTGATTGCACCAGCAGCTGCAGCAGGAAGGGTTGTTTCTCCTCCATGCCAGAGGAGAGAAACTTGCCCTTAGCATCATCCACGCGCCGCAGTTCGCGACCTATAAAGCGGCCACAATGGCTACCATGAAGTCATCAGCTCGCTCACTGCTCCCTCTAAGCCTCTCTCTAGCAGATTCACGCTCCTCTAATCTTCTTTCCTCATGGCGACGGCTGGCATGCGCGTGCTGGTGCTGGCAGCGCTGGCGGTGGGGCTGCTGGCGGCGGCGGTGAGTGGAGCGCGGGACGCCATGAAGGTAGCGAGCGCGCTGGTCCCAGGGGGGGGCAGGCGCATTCTCGCGGCTGAGACCTTCGCTCACGACGCCCCTCTGCCCGGCTACCTCGACCACATCCCCCGCCGCCAGGCCCTCGCCACCAGTACGTTGCTGCTGCTCTGCTCCCCCCACTCCCTCTCTATCCTCCGCTTCCCTTATCTCTCGTTTCTCTGCTCACTTATCTCTCGTTTCTCTGCTCACTTATCTCTCGTTTCTCTGCTCACTTATCTCTCGTTTCTCTGCTCACTTATCTCTCGTTTCTCTGCTCACTTATCTCTCGTTTCTCTGCTCACTTATCTCTCGTTTCTCTGCTCACTTATCTCTCGTTTCTCTGCTCACTTATCTCTCGTTTCTCTGCTCACTTATCTCTCGTTTCTCCGCTCACTTATCTCTCGTTTCTCTGCTCTCCTTGTCTCTCGTTTCTCTGCTCTCCTTGTCTCTCGTTTCTCTGCTCTCCTCTCTATTCCCTGCTCCCCTCGCCACTCGTTTCCCTGCTTCAATCAGCTGCCATTTTCCTGCTCCCTTCAGCACTCATTTTCCTGCTCCTCTCAGCACTCACTTCCCTGCTTCCCTCAGCATTCTCTTCCCTGCTACCCTAACACTCACTTCCCTGCTCCCCTCAGCAACCATTTCCTTGCTCTCTCAACCTCATCTCGATGCTACCGTTCTTCCTCCCCGTTATCCTGTCGTTCCCCCTCCCAGCGTGCGGGCGCACGACAGTACAACCTAACTTCACCTCTGGCCCCTTGCTCTCCCATTGTCCCTTCCCCCTTACCCCTTCCACCTTCCCAGCGTGCGGGCGCACGACGGTGACGATCCGGTCGCAGTACCTGGGGCCGTACGACCTGCACAACAACATCTACAACATGACCTATTACAACGGCTGCGCCTACAACGTCACCAGCCCGCTGCGCGTGTACCAGTGCGCCAACTTCGGCAACGTGTGGGAGGGCAGCCTCGACAACCCCGCGCCCAACCCCACGCAGTACCAGACAGGCGACATCTTTGTGCAGTCGTCGACGGGGTACTGTGAGGTGCACATGAACCGCGGTGCTGACGGCACTGTGCAGATGTTCCCCGGGGAGACGGTCAACATTCTGTATGCGTGGACCAGTGACTGGCGCCCTTGCGCGTCGGAGCTGCGCTTCAGCAACGGCAACAGCTACTCCATGGCCGACGTCTCCGAGTGCCAGGCTGCTGCTGCCATCTAGAGAGAGAGGGTTTTGGACGTGCTCATGATGGTTGAGATGTAAAATGTGGAGGAAAGATGGTGGAGGGAGGGGAAGAAATTCGGGATAGGTAATAATGTATGCAACGAGTGTATACGTTGAAGAATCTATTACAATCGAAAACTCACATGTTCTACTCTCCATAACGGTTTGCGATGATTATGTGCCGACACAGCTCGCCTAGCCCGAAGCCCTGGCCATCACCGGCTGTAAAACGCGGGAGACGGGGTTGGCGAAATTTCCACCACTGCGTGCGAAATTACCACCACTACTTTCGCAACGCTACTACCCGTACCTTCACAAATCACGGGCCACTGGTTAGTTCGTGTCCGTAGGGATGACATGTCAACATTGGCAGTGTCAACCCGAAGCGCGCAAAAATAGAGTGTCAAGCTTTGAGGCTTGGTGTCAAATCGAAGCGCAGCAGGGAATCCTGCGACGGAAGCTTACTGGTTGGGCACAAGTTTGAGTACACAGGGAGGGCCCAAAATTGGTTTTGGCCTACCCTTACAAATCAGGGTAACAGCCCCTCCTTGAACAGACCCCTAGGGTAAAATTTTCCGTACCCTGTTGGCAGCAGGGTAAATCTACCATTACACTGATTTCGGCAGGGTAATTCTATATCTAGTCTGTTTTCACTACTAGTAATTTCTACAGTAACAATAAAGTAGCACGAAGCTGTCCTTGAAGCGCAACTCTGCTCAGCTGGCAGTGGTGTGGCTCGATTAAAGCCAGCAGCTAAAATAGTGACCCCCCCTTCTAGTTGGGTCCACTTGAAATCTCGTACTCACTTTGGGAAGTTGGAAGTGTTGTTCCGTAATTTTTGTTCAGACGCGAGAAACACTAATCGAGTCTTTCACAAAATTTCATCAATCATCGCAAGCATATGCAATTGTGTCGCAAGTTTGCGACGTGCAAATCACATGCACATGCCGTGCCAATTTCAACAAGTGCAGCATGAGCAATTCACGCACAGCAAATGCTTTTGGCATGGGCCTGCTAAGCCTGCGATCACAACATAGAAAACCAAAGAGGAAAATAACAAAGAGATTCAAGGTGACGAGATAAGAGAGAGAGATGGGGCGACGGAAACAAGGACGCGGAGAGAGAAATGAGTGCGCAAAATCACGGAATGGTAGGGTGATGGGAGGGAGACGTGAGGAATAGCGCGAGGGCGATGAGATGGGTGATCGGAGGGGAGAGAAGTGCGACGGGAGGGCAGTTCGAGGAGAGCGCGAGAGCGACGATGGGAAGAGAATTACGAAAGGCGACGGGCAGGCATTTCGGGGCGAACGCAAGGACGGCGAGGTGGGTGATTCGAGGGGATATACGAACGGCGCGGGGAGGGCGGGTCAGAGCGAGCGCGAGTGTGACGGATTGGCCGATGGGAGGGGAGATTGGGTGGGGGACGAGAGAGCGACAGCAACGGGAAGGGAGGGGAGAGCGCGAAGGAAATGGGGCGGGAGAGGAGAGAGCGATGGCGACGGGAAGGGAGGGAAGAGAACAAAGGACATGGGGCGGGAGAGGAGAGAGCGATCGCGACGGAAGGGAGGGAAGAGAACGAAGGACATGGGGCGGGAGAGGAGAGAGCGATTGCGACGGGAAGGGAGGGAAGAGAACGAAGGACATGGGGCGGGAGAGGAGAGAGCGATTGCGACGGGAAGGGAGGGAAGAGAACGAAGGACAAGGGGCGGGAGAGAAGAGAGCGATGGCGACGGGAAGGGAGGGAAGAGAACGAAGGACATGGGGCGGGAGAGGAGAGAGCGATTGCGACGGGAAGGGAGGGAAGAGAACGAAGGACAAGGGGCGGGAGAGAAGAGAGCGATGGCGACGGAAGGGAGGGAAGAGAACGAAGGACATGGGGCGGGAGAGAAGAGAGCGATGGCGACGGGAAGGGAGGGAAGAGAACGAAGGACATGGGGCGGGAGAGAAGAGAGCGATGGCGACGGGAAGGTACGGGGGAGCGCGCAAAGGAGAGGGGAAGGAAGAGGAGCGAGCGAGGGCGACGGGAAGGGGGGGGAAATATTTTTTGAAAGAGAACATCTATTTGCTAGGTAAGTTATTATCATCTAATGATTAAGAAGGAACATCAAGGGCGATGGGACGGGAGGTAAGATGGCGATTGCAAGGGAGGGGAGAGAGCGAGATCGACGGAAAGGGAGGGGAGAGAGCGAGAGCGACGAGTAGGGAGGGGATAGACCGAGAACAAAAAGAAGGGAGGGCGAGAGCGAGA